TTACAGAACAATTCATATCAACCACGCTATCAAAGATTTCGGAAGCTACAAGTTTAGTGCAGCCTGATCAACGAGGAAAGCATATTCCAGGAAACAAAACACCCGATTATGTAATTGCAGGGATTAAAAACCATATTTGTATGTTTCCACGTTACATATGTCATTACTCGAGAGAAAAAACAACTCGCGAATATCTTGGACCAGATTTAAATATAACGAAAATGTACGAACTATACGTAAAAAAATGTAAAGAAGATGGTGTACCAGAAAATATGATATCGAAGCAGTGGTTATACAGAAAAATTTTCAAGGAGCATTTCAATTTGTCCTTTTACTTACCTAGCAATGATACTTGCGACACTTGTGATAAGTTCATATCATTATTAAAGCACGAAACTAACTCCGAAGAAAAAGAAAAAATAGAGAAGCAAAGAAAAGAACATATTGACGACGCTGATAAGAGGTATGCTTTAAAAAGAGGACAAAGAAATCGCTAAAGAATCGGAAGGAAAAAAAGTAACTCTTATGGTGGACATGCAAAAATGTTTAGCAACGCCTTTGCTAACAAATAGTCAGTCTTTCTATTTAAGAACACTGTGAACATTCAATGAAACAATTCATAATGACATTGATAACAAATCTTACTGCATGATGTGGGATGAAACACAAGGAGGAAGAGGCGCCAATGAAGTCGGATCGTGCATTATAGAATGAGTTCTTAATTACAAGTGAGAAAACACAGAAGAAATAACAATATGCTCTGATAACTGTTCGGGGCAAAACCGTAACGTTATTTTGTTGTATTGTTACTTTTGGTTATTACAAAACGCGGAACTTGTCACAATCAACCACAAATTTTTACTTCGTGGTCACACACATTCAGAGGCTGATGTTGTTCATTCAGTTATTGAGAGAAAGAAAAAAGAACTATCTAGTTTTGATGTAGTAGTACCACGTGATTGGAAGCAGTTTGTTAAAATCTGTAAAACTCAGAACCCATTAATAGTACACAACATGAATCTTATGAATGTTAAAGATATTAAATCATTGTCCGTGAATTTCAGTCAAAGGCGTAAAAATTCATCTAATGATCAGTTTTTGATTTCACAATGTGTGTGGCTACAGGTAAGGAAGCAGAAAGATGGTATTTTATATTATAAAACCAGTTTCCATGAAAAAGAGTTCTCTGAGATAAACCTTAAAAAGAATACTAGACAAAACCTTGTATTGTCAAACTCCCTGCCACAGGCTTATGAAAACATTCGTCCTATCAGTATTGCGAAATACAAAGATTTGGCGACGTTAACTCAAGGAATTGCCGATCCAGAACTAAAATAGTTTTACATTGACCTACCACATGGAAATCAATCTGATATTATCGAAGAATCTGAAAATCCTGACCTGTGCTATTAAATTGTTTGTATTTGTTTAGCAAATAATGTCATTTTAGTCATTAAAGTTATTTAGATTAGATAAAAAAGTTGTATGTTAAGATAATGTGCAAATTTTGACCATTTCTCGAGACGTTGAAAAAAAATCTCAAGAGGATTCCCAAAAAGGAAATACTTTCAATTGACGAACAAATGTGTGCGACAAACCACCGTATTAACACTTAGTAATATTCTTGTCCAATACAGAAAAACCTAATGAATTTTAGTTACTACAATTAAATCTAGATGGCACTTTTGACAAAAAATAAATTAGTCTGGTATCACAACGACTTCAAAAAGTTTTATTCACTCCGCAACCCTGACATCCGTCCACTGTGATTTACGTCAACTGTCAAACATCAATCTTCATCTTGAAAAATATAAGGCAATATATAAAAACAGTTTTATGTATAACCATTAATCTGTATTTATTTATTTATTTATTTTAACAGATACACCATTGGCTTATCACTAGACATTGTTAAGTATAACACAATTGGTTTTGTTCAAAGTGATTTGCCTTTAAAGGTATATACAACATTCGCAAATAGTGCAGCTACTATAAGACAGTTGTTAACTTACTTAACTAGAACAATATTATTAATAAATTTACAAGTAATTTGCTTACAAAAAAAAAACTAATGCTAAACTTGAAGAAGATAGAAAGAGTTATAAATACTTATTACATAATTTAGCAAATTGTGATACGTTATCCGTATGGAAAATGTCGACATCGCCGTTGGTGGTTATGTCGTTAAACGTTTGCATTAACCTATTTATTGGGGCTCGTTTACCTAAATTTGTTCTATGGTTAGATAAACAAAAGATTTTGGTAATCGGATGTCTTGGTATAGATCTTGGAACTCTGATACTTATTTGATTTAACAGTGCCGGTGATAGTAGGAGGCCGTGAATTAGCTTATAAAGTGTTTTAAGATCGCTAAGTCGACGTCTTTTTTCGAGAGACTCTAATTTGAAGTGGGATAGCCTAGTATTATAGTCAGCACGGTAAGGACAAGTTTGATCTTTAAAGGCTAAGTAGCGGGTAAAATTGCGCTGGATACGCTCTATTCGATCACTGTGAATTTGGTATGATGGGTTCCAAACAGGTGAAGCATATTCTAGTGTACTACAAATAAGAGCTTTGTATATAGTGAGAATAGATATAGGGTTCCGCAAATCCTTACATATTCGCTTTACGAATCCTGCCATCTTCCATGCCTTGGATGCAATATTATCAATATGGATGTTGAAATTTAATTTTTTATCGATCATTACGCCAAGGTCACGGACTACTTCGGATTCTGTTAATTTTTCTCCGTCTACAAAATAACTGGAGCGAATAATGTTTCTCTTTCTGGTAATTTTTATAGACAGACATTTCTTGGGATTTAGTAGCATTTTGTTACTTTTGCACCAATCTGAGATAGAGGTGAGATCTGTCTGTAATTTAACTACATCATCTGGAGACTCTATAACCTTATACAATTTTAAGTCATCTGCAAATATTGAGTAATTACTAAAGGTAATATGAGCAGAAATGTCATTTATAAATACCAAAAAGAGAACAGGGCCGATATGCGACCCCTGTGGAACGCCTGAAGTTGGATAAAACGAAAAAGACTTGAAACCCTGTGTTGTTACTCTTTGAATTCGATTAAATAAGTAGGATTTTATCCAATTCAACAGGTTTCCGTGAATACCATAATAATTTAATTTGGACAAAAGAATGGCGTGGTTAACTTTATCGAACGCGCTACTAAAATCGGTGTATATAGCATCAACCTCTTTATTTTTATCAACATATCTCGCCAAGTTCGAGGTGTATTCTAGTAGGTTACTAACTGTAGACTTATTTGCGCAAAAACCATGCTGACAATTAGAAATTACCTTTGATAAATGAGAAGACAAAATGGGGCAGAGTATTTTTTCTAAAAGTTTAGGGAACAAGCTTAATAAAGAAACAGGTCGGTAGTTTTCAATATTGCGTTTGTCACCTTTTTTGTAGATGGGAATCACATTGGAAATTTTCCACTCGTCAGGAAATTTTGCAGTTTTAATTGATTTATCGAAAAGCAATTTAAGTGGGAGAGTTAAATATTTATAAGTTTTTTTAATAAAGTAGGGTGGGATGCCGTCCGGTCCAGCACCTTTATTAGAGTCAATTGACTTTAATACTTTCTCGACGTCTCGCTCTGTAATTTCAACATTGCTTAGAATTAATTATGGATAGCAATCTCCTAGATCCGGTTGCGTTGAATTGTCAGGGGGAGAGTAAATCGAAGAAAAACGTGTCGCAAAAAGATTACAAATTTCCTCACTACCTCGCGCAACCTTGTCGTCTAAATACATCTCAGAGGGTAAGTTGGAAAGACCTCCATGTAAGGATTTGACATAAGACCAGAATTTTTTTGGGTTTTTACTGAGAGCATATTCAGTGTTTTTTAAATATGTACTGTAGCAAGATGACATTAATGACTCTACGCGTTTATTAGATAAGATAAGTTCAATCTTATCTCTAGGATTCCGGTAAATCTGGTATCTTGAATGAATTCTATTTCTTTCGGCTATTAATTTTATAAGGTTTCCTGTAAACCAATGTGGATATTTCGGACTACGAGGTTTAGTTCTGGGTACAGTTGATTGAATAACATCATAAGTTGATAAAATTTTGAAACAGCGATGTCAACGTCATCCAGAACCGACAGTTCTTTCACCCAATCGATATGACTTAATTTACTTTTTACAATTGCATAATCAGCTTTTTTGTAGTTATACGTTGCAAATTGCTTGTTACGTAAAGAATCATACTTATTTAAACTGAACCCAATCGACAGAGCTGGATGGTGTGAATCTAATTTGCAGAGCGGATTAATACAATTATCGACTATTATACTGTCTAAGTTACTTAGGACGAGATCTAAGATACGACTGTTATGGTTTGCAACATGATTAAACTGAGACAAATTATTTAACGACATAAAGTCAATCAATAAGTACCCTAAGCTACACTGATAATTTAATGGAGTCAAGTTACAACATCCACTTGAATCTTTATTCCAGTCTATAAATCCGAGGTTGAAATCACCTAAAACAATCACATCACCGGAATGAGATAAAATCACATCACTGCAGTTGTCGATAATAGGTTCGAGTGACGACACGGTTATTGGTGGTGGTATGTAAATGGCACCAATTAAAATTGCTTTGTCTGTCGATATATTTACTGATATCCACAAATCCTCTCCAGTGCTTTCATAGTGAAACATTCTCTTCGAGTGGTACTTAATGGAAACGGCGATCAAAACGCCTCCGCCACCTTTTCCGGCCAGGCTGGTTGATTGGCGATCTCTTCGGTATACATAATAGTTGTTGCTAAATAGCTCGTCATCGTAAACGCTGTCATCCAACCAGGTTTCAGTCCCAACAATAACATCGTAGTCTCCCAACAACGTTGCAAGTCTCAAATCTTTGGTTTTAGTTTTCAGGCCTCTGAAATTTTGGTAATAAATCTTTAAGGTAGCCATTTTTATGCGTTAATCAATTCCCGTTAAAAATGTCCAAGTATTATTATAGTCTGTTTAGGTTATCGTAACACTTTATTTGTTTTGCAGGGGACTGGTCATTTTTTCTAACAAAAATGCGGCCGTTACGGATCCAGACGAAATCGTATTGCTTTTCTCGAGCAACTTGACGAGTCCTCGCATGTAGAGCTTTAAAATACGGCGCTAGATGTTCGGAAACGAAAATAGGCGACTTGTTTTCTATATATCCCAGGTGTCCTGTGTTTAGTTTATTGGATGCGTTCTTTTTATTAAATTGCGTTACCGCTGCTAGTATCTCATCACGAGTTTTTACTGAAGGAAGTTTTATAATAATTGCGCGGGGCCTCTTATTTGAATCGTTCATCTTCCTAACTCTGGTACAGGTAGCTGATTCGATGAGATCGGTAGAGATAGATACAGTATTGCATATTTGTTTGGCAACATTAATTAAGTTCTCAGTCTTACTTTCCGGAACACCATTCACTTCAATATTCGTCTCACGCGAGTATTGCTCAAGTAAAACAAGTCTATTTGATAATTCGTTCACTTTTGTATGTAAGTTGCTGTTTTCAGCTGAAAGCGACTTTATGTGCTCTTCTGACGTTTTTAATTCTTTTTTCATTCTGTCATATTCCGCACTTAAAAATTCAAGCCCGCTTTTGATATCTTTTAAGGAACTTAACTCCTCTTTTATAGTTCTTAAATCCATTTTTATAGATGACTCCTCTATAGCTTGATTTAAAAAATTTCCCATTGATGATTTAATTTCTGATCTTATTGTTAGCATTAAGGATTCATCTCCGGGTTGTGTAGGTGAGCTCACCTTCTGATTACTAGGTAGTTGAGGTTTTTTACGCTGTGTTATGTAATCACTGTTAGGAGTACTAATTTCCTGCGACGAATCACCACGGTCTCGCGGGCCCGTTCTGGACTGGATTGGGGTGTTTAAATTGTCACCCTTTCGTTCTTTATTCCTACAACCAGGGCAGATCCATTTCTCTTTCTTGTCCTTCTCCAGCAGCATAAGGCGTTGGTGAGAAATATTAGCGCAAACTGTGTCATATATATCTTTGCAAAGTGAACATGTTACAAAGTCCTTATTAGTTATTTTATTTAAACATCCCGCGCACAATTTTGTTTTTGAAGCCATAGCACCATAGATATTTAAAACCCCTGTGTACGTTAGTTGTTGGTTCCTTTAGCGAAACTGTTTTATCGGAGTACTTTCGCTTAAAGTTTATGGCAAAGTAAGACGGTCTGACACTAGGAGTACTAGGCGCACATAAACAAGTATTCTTAAATAAATTAAAATCACTATAATTGCAAAGTAAGAAGGTCTGACACTTGGAGTACTAGGCGCACATAAACAGGTAAGTGAATTATCACTAACCAAAAAGAGCGTAGCTAAGAAGATGGCCGCTACGAGTTGCGTAGTAGATGGTCAGTGCGAGGCTGGGCGGTGCGTGCGCTGGAGGTAGCCGGGTCAGCAATGATTGGTCGCCGCGATTTCCGTTATGGCGGTTGGACGGGGTGCTGCTTGTAGTTTGTGATAGCGCGCTTCGCAGGTGATGTCACTAACTGAGAGCTCTTTTCACTTTATGCGCTCCTATTTTTTTAATATAAATAAAAACTGTTTTTAATTTAACTTAATTTTTAAAATAAAATGACGATAACTTGGAATACGTGTGCTCGCTGCCGAGGTCCGAGGGAGAGGATCTGAGAGAGAGAGTATCTGAGTAGCATAACACTGTAACTCCATTTTCAACGAAATTGAGGTTTCTACACAATTCTATGTTATTTGCTCCGCTCTTTACAGGCATAAAACAGTAACTGGGCAAAGCCATGTACTTTTTAATATTTTAAATTTTATTATACTGTATATCTCAAACTATCTTTAAAGCATAACAGGGTAAAGGACTATACACTAAAAATAGTCTTCACAATCACGTGTATTTTACTATAAGTGCGGAGTTACATTATTCTGCCGCTAACTGCATCGATGCCGAGAAGCTAGGCGCAGTTTGACTATAAATAGATCGCGTTAGACACAGTGTTTCATTCCGCCTGTGGCACCGCTCTCGAGCGGTCGTGTCCAGGTAGTCCGCGCATCCGTCCCCGTACGGTAGTGCTCCCTCGCTCTCGCGCCTCCGCTGTCCTGCTCGCTCTGTACAGCGTCGACGCTTTGGTGAGTCATTTCTGCTAACAGTTCTTGCCCCCCTGTCTTTGGGCGGTGGAGGTTTGACTGACCTCTGCTTGTTATTTTTATTGTTAATTGTTATTGTTAACTATTTCTAATTTTGTTTTCGTTATTTACTTGTATAACGTGTACGTGTATATACTGTTTCTAGGGAGTTACTTGCTCTTTTCAGAGCAAGGCTCTGCTCTTTTGAGAGCAGGGGCACTTACTCCTTGAATTAAGAACGTCCCGTTCTTTTCAGAACGGTGATCCCGCCCTTACTGTTTTCAATAAGACCGTCCCGTTCTTCTGAGAACGGTGACCCCTGCCCCTAAAGTAGATACGTAAAATGTCCTCGCAGGAATTGATAGGTTCCCTGCACAATGCCGTATATAGGTTGCATAAAGACCCGGAGGCTCTTAACGCAGCCATCTCAGCCCTTCTGGCTCCTCCCGCCCTTCAGGCACCGCCGCCCGTTATAGCGGACTACCTCGCGTCGCGGAACTCGTTCGCGCCTTTAGAAATCGACATGGAGTGCTCTCACTCCGACTCCGCGTCATCAGTATCTGCCTCCCGGAAGAGGCCTGCTAATAAGTCTAGCACCAGGACATCGGAGTCCTTTGACTCCGATGATACCGGTGACTCCAGTACATCGTACACCACGGTTTCGTCAAAGCGCGCAGCGAAGCGCGCCGCGAAAAACCGTTCGCCCCCCGCCTCAGCGGCCCGTGCCACTCCCTCTACCCCCGCAGCCCCCGCCGCTGCCCCGACCCCGTTAGACATCGCAGCGCCGTCCAAGCCGGCTTCACGTTGCGCTCCCCAACTCGCTAAAAAGCAAGTCCCGGCCCCTGACTTCTTAAGAGACAAAACAGAATTCACCCGACTTAGCAAAATCTGCTATGACTCGGGTATTAAATATGACCAAGCTACCAACATGGGCGTAGCCATTAAAATAGTTCCACAAACGATAGACGATTTTCGCCGCATTACGAGACTTTTTACAAACGAACGTGTGTCTTACCACACATACGCTCTTCCGGAAGAGCGTAAAGTTAGGGTAGTCATCCGAGGAGTCCCATTCGAGCTCTCCAATGAAGAAATCCTTGAGGACCTTAAGTCGCAAGGATTTCCTGTTGAGGCTGTGTATAAAATGCATAGCAGAACCGGGTTGAGATACCCGATAGTCCTAGTTATACTTACCAACGTTCCGGAGGCGAACGCTATCTTTCGACAAGTACGCACCGTGTGCGGCTTGTCGGGAGTCAAAGTTGAGCCACCGCATAGGCGCGGTTTCCCGGCGCAGTGCCATCGCTGCCAGCTTTATGGGCATGCGGCGGCCAATTGCTCCGCTCCACCCAGGTGCGTTAAGTGCCTAGACCCGCACACCACTAAGGAGTGCCCCCGGACCAAAGATGCCGTATCCCCGCCCGCGTGCGTCCTGTGTCAACAGACAGGCCACCCGGCAAGTTATAGAGGATGCCCGTGCGCTCCTCGTCCTCGCCCAAATAGGCAGATCCCACCGCCGGTAAATGACCGTTCATTCCCGGCATTATATGTTAGGAAGCCCCGTCAGGGCTTGTCCCAGCCGCCGCAGGGCTTCGCACGACCCCTTCAGGGTCCCGTTAGACCACCGCAGGCGCCTATTAGGCCACCTCCGGGCTTTTCAAAGACTTCGCAGTATTTCCCTGGGGCCCTAAAAAGGTTGACCCACCGCGGGCAACCTCCTCCGCTCCTCAAGCGAAACAGCCATCAATGGTCGATGACCTTAACACGGTTTACGCCGCGATAAGGAACATCGACATCAACGAAATTGCAGTGTTAGCCATCTGCTCTGCCTATAAGTTACGGACGTATAAAGCCTAAAGGGTTATCGCTTATCTCTTTTAACATTCGCGGATTGCGAAATTACCTCCCAGAGCTTAAGCTCTTCATTAGAGATCGCGTAGCCGATTTTCTCCTCTTACAGGAAACTAACCTCAAATCAAAGGACACCACAGGCCTTTCTATTAAGAATTATTCTCTTCTTCGTAATGACAGGCCCGACCGCCGAGGCGGCGGAACGGCCATTTATTACAAGAGGACATTACATTGCTCTCACATTAATACGCCTCAACTTACCAATATGGAAGCTACGATATGCAGGTTAGCTATGACGGGACATCAGTCTTTAGTCATAGCCTCCTGTTACATTCCCCCTGGAATTGACCCCCTCAAAAAAGATTTTGAGGCTATCTTATCGCTAGGCAATTCAGTCATTATGTTTGGAGATTTTAACTCTAAACATAATGAATGGACATGCCGTGCAACTAACCGTAGTGGCAAGAAACTGCTTGAAATAACGCAGTCTCTTGACATTACAATCCACAGTCCACTCGGTGCTACTCACTATCCCGATGCCACCGATTACGCCCCCGATATACTAGATATTGCGTTACTCAACGGAGTTTCTCTTAACCTCAGGTCAATCGAGACACTAGACGATATAGGATCCGATCACCGACTGGTCTCCCTTATTCTTGGCCATCAGCCACCCCCCATAACAACAACGAAAAGTTTTACTAATTGGAAGGGTTTCAAGGATTCTCTAGCTAAAGCTATAGACTCACAGGACTCCCCCAACTACCTATCGTCGGACATGGTTCCCCGACATAACAGCCCCGGACAGAATAGCCCCGACAAAACAGCCCCGACAAAACAGCTCACCGACAAAACAGCCCCCGTCAAAACAGCCCCCGACAAAACAGCCCGTAAACAGGTAGTATAATATTATTACTTTGCTAGTTGCATTGATAATCATGATTAGCAGATTTGAATAAATGTTATAATAACTTATAGTCCGTTCATCGCTTTAAGAAAGTAATTTGTAATGTGTTTACAATGCCTATTGTACCTCTTGCGGCGATAATCCTCTTATTGCTATTGAACGAGTATGGGTCATTTAGAAATACAAAGTAATTTGTAATGTGTTTACAATGCCTATTGTACCTCTTGCGGCAATAATCCTCTTATTGCTATTGAACGAGTATGGGTCATTTAGAAATACATGGGAAGTGTTAATAAATTACTTAATTGTTCTATAATTGCAGCACCAGGTAAGGGGTTAATCCCCCGTAAAAGAAAAGTTAGTTTCTTAAACCGATGAACGGACTATACCTATTATGAGTAGGTTCCAAGAAGGGGGGATTTACGTTTCGGCCGTTAGCAGTAATATATAAGAACATCGGGACACACAAAATAAGTATAGTCTTGTAGAATTTTGTCTGGTGAAGATCATGGAACTTATTCAATCGCAGAAAGGCAAAGATTTACTGTTGAGCGATGGGTACCGGTATCGTAAGGCGAGAACTAATACCGATGGCAGTGTATCATGGAGATGCGCCGAGACACCTTGCCGAGGACGTGTCAAAGTGTCATTGGAAAATGTCGTGGTAAATGTGACTCGACACAGTCATGCTCCAGATCCAGCTAAAAATGAAGCAAAAAAATCTGTGTCTAATATGAAAAGGCGAGCAGCGGACACCCTTGAGAAACCAAGGCAGTTGATTCAAGGATCGACAAGAGGGATAAATTTGGAAGCATCAGTCCATTTGCCATCACACAATGCATCTCAGAGAACTGTTGAGCGTATTCGGCAAAGGCGTGAAGTGTCGTGCCCAAACCCAGGCTCTGTTGTCGATATTAATATTCCTGTTGCACTACAAGTCACTTCAAGAAATCTAAATTTCTTGTTATGGGATTCTGGACAGAATGATCCTCATCGCATCTTCATGTTTGGTACTGAAGAAAATTTGGAAGTTTTAGAGGAGCACCGGCACTGGCACGTAGATGGAACCTTTAAAGTAGCCCCACAATTATTTTTACAAGTATTTACCATTCATGCATTGGTAGATAACCGTTCTATTCCGTTGATTTACGTGCTTCTACAGGATAAACGAGAAGAAACATATGTTCGAGTGTTTCAAAAATTGATGGAG